CTTTATCTTTAAATGATAATAGTATTGATAATCAGCAAAGTAAAAGTAAAAGAAGTTATAAAAGGAGACAAAAAGTTAATCTTTTATTACCACAAACTATTGCTGAACTCTTAAAAGATGATTGTGTTAATTATAAAAATAATAATACTAATTTAATGATAGCAATGATAAAGAAATTTTACAACAAGGCTTTTTAGAAACAGAACGAAACTCAAGATTAATGTCAATCCTAGAGCCAGAAGCTAATTTTTAAGAATATATTCCTTTAAATACAACCTTTCAATCAATAATGATATCAACAGTAGATTCAAAAGCAAATAGTCCAATTGATGATTTTTTTTTCTTTAAATAGATCATCAATAGCTCTGAAATAAAGTAATGAACCTGATTCTTTAAATAAACTCTCAAGAATGGTATCATCACCTTCAAGACTGACAAGAACGACACCTTTAAAATCAAGAGATAATGCATTGAACATTTTTAATAATACGTTTATTCCTACTCAAAGTATGACAAATTTCAATACAGCAATTAGTGAAGTTATTCTATTACCATTTAATGAAATGATAATTTATCAACTTTGTTCATGGTTATGTATGAACTCTAATATTCTACAGCTAGCAAATAATATGCATTTATCAATGCAAACACCAGCTGTAGAAGCATCATTATTCATATCTTCTGGATTTACTTTACTACATAAGTAAGATAATAAGGCGAAAGCTTGTCGTGATTTTCTAAAAGAATTGAAATGTCTCTTCCTTCGCATTCAGAATCCCTAGAAAAGTGTACTTGAAGAATTAATAAGAAATGTTATAAAGTGTAACCTCAATGATGCTGAAGGTATAGGCACTTCAGTAATTTCGTAATAAGTTAGTTAATGGTGTTGAAGATTCAGTTAGAATGTTCAAGAAAAAAAAAATTGTTAGTATTAAATGTCAAGTAAATATTTATTTTTTTATTATTTTTATTTTACAATTAATAATAATTTAATTAATTATAGGCCTACGACGAGCCCTTTACAAAAAGAAGAAATTATTACTTTCATTAATAAGAATGAAACAGTTTGGACTGGATCAGTGATTGAACGCTACTAATATGAATGAATCAGGCGCTCAAGGTTCCATGCCTTATTTATGTAAATTTATTCAGCATGCATTTGCTATTAATTATTCATCAAAGGACATGAAAAGACCAAAACTTTAGATACTTTAACGAAAAGTATTAAAATCTCATCATGAAACGGTAAAAACTTCGTCAGCAAATTACAGTTATAAATTACCTTTTTTTATTAATATCAAATTGTATTTAGTTGGTATTTATTGATTTTAAATTTTATTTAACAAAAAATTTATCTAATTAAATTTTTTATAAAATTTAAATTTTTAAATTTCGTCAAAAATGCATTTGTTTATAATTATTTTCAAAAAATTTATTATTAAAATTTTATTAAGTTTATTTTACATTTATTAAAGCATTAATTTATTATTTGCGTTAAATATTTAGTAATTTTTCATATTAAATTCATCTAAAAGTACTTGCCAAAACTTTGCATAAATTTCTTAAGATTATTTTATTCAACTAATTTTCAACATTAATAAAAAAATTTTAAAACATTTATTATAAATTATTATGAATTTTGCAACTAATTTTTAATGAATTATTATTAGTTTTTTTATGACTTTGTTAAGAAAATATGCAGTTACAAGATTGAAACTAATTTGTGACAAGTTTTAATTAACAATGTGACTATTTAATAAAAAATCATGGGTTTCTGTAAAGATTCTATGATCCAATCTAAGGAACTTTACAGAAACTTTGTTTCCTAACTATGCAGTAACTGCATAGTACCTATTAGACTACGATTAAGCTACTACTAAGTAAGGTAGTAACTATATATTTACTATATAGTCACTTCGCAGTTACTGCGCATTATGAAAACCAAGTATCTGTAACGAATCTAAGGTGATTCATTTGGATTTCCAAATTATGATTTTCTTTAGTAATAACATTGACACTTTCAATTTTTCTCCATTTCAGTATCATCAAAACCATCATAAATAGATTGTTTTTTATTTGATAATCATAAAAATCATTTGTATTTTCACCCTTAAATTCACCAACTTCATCAAAACTACTTCCTTCACTATATTCAAAACACTAAAATCATCATCTTCTTTCTCATTTATAACAAATTTCTCTGATTTCACATTTTAACATTGATTAAATGAATCATTTAGCTCTTGATTATCTAAAATTATTTCATTATCAAGCTTTACATCATAATCAGAGTTTTCAGAATTAGATATTTTATGATTATTTTTATTATCTAATACATCATTATTTTTTTGTAATATATAATTGACCAAAATTTTATGATTCTCTTCACATATTTTGCGCATCAAGTTCAGAAGTTGCTTGTATATCCCAAGAAAATGACGAAGACCACATTGTCGCATTTTCTTGTTCTATTGAAGTAAAAGTTGGTAATGTTGAAATATTGTTATTATCATTTATAGGTTCTGGTATAGTTAATATTTTAGGATTTTTAACAATTTTTTTTTGTTTTAGCTGTTTCTTTACGAACCATTTTTTTTAAGGATAGAAATTTTATCATTTTGAATGTAAATGAAAAAAAAAAATCAAAAATAAAAATAAATAAGTAAATAAATTTTATTTGAAAGAGTTATGTATAGCCGTACAGTATAGTATAAGAATCATCAATGAATTTTTATACGGGAGAATAATCTATAGATGTCTCTTCAGTTAACAGAATTTTATATTAAATTATCAATATTGCAAGAGATAAATGGCCTTGATCTCAAGACTTACATAACGTCGCTACTAAAAAATGGTAACCAGATTTTATTTGTCAGGTATTTGTTATTAGGGTTAGTATTAGATCTAGGGTTTAGATTAGTATTAGGATTAGGGTAGAATTAGGATTAGTTTAAGGGGTTAGCAAATTTGTCACATAGCGACCGTTCTTCAATTTACTAAGTATTCTGAGAACAGAGAAATTATTTTGAGAGAAAAATGCTAATTGTCACAATTATATGTTACCCTTAATAAGTAATATGTGACCCAGCAAATAAAATCTGATTACTGTTTTTTGTTAACGACGCTAGGGCTGTTATGATCTTAATGACATGTCACAGAGAATTATATCATGTAATCTGTAATGCTAGTCAGAATTATTTAAATGGTTAATATAAACAAAACTGTAATTAAGGTTGACATTTCATTATTTATCCTGATCAGTTTCGTTCCTTTCTTTATTTTCTTTAGAAATGTCTCCTAGACCGGATTTTGAGAGAATTTAGCAAACTTGTACAGTACAGTTAGCAAGCAATGTATAGTATGGTTTATTTTTCATACAAGTATAGACATTGCTAGGTAATACGAATAGGAGTTTAGTAGTTATCACGTGATATGATGTTAAGTTACATTTTTTTCATACTCAACTAACCCTAATCTACTAGCATTAATACTAACTCTACTCTCCTATTCATCTTACCTACACTCCCTTCCAAAAAATATCTGACTACTTGCTGATCATTTACCAATCATTTGAAATTATAGCTGATTTCGACGTTTATTACTTAACAATTTATTAATAAAATTTTTACA